GTTTTGAAGGACTCGTAAACAACATTTTACAGGGTGATAAAATGGCGTATTTCTTGTATTTTGTTTAGATTTTTTAGTTCCTCCTGTTATAAAGGGTTAAATTTATTATTAGTGGAATGGAAATGGCTTGGATGGAAGAGTAACAAGGCTGAATTGTTAACAAGCGATATGGGATGACAAAATGGCGCCGAATTTGGACAAAGTTGTGGATTTACCTTGTCGATGGTTAAACAGGTATGATCTACTTGAAACCAAGTTGAAACTTGTTTAAAATGTTCTTGATACCATTATGTCTGAGATGATTTACATTTTTTGTAGGATGTCGACGAGATCGCCGATAAACAGCGGAGTAAAGTGGAGAACTTGGCAAAATACGTCCATTTGCAGGAGGTAGGCACATTTCGAATTATTATTTCGGTCAGAAAATATTAACTATTTTACTCCAAACCATTGATAATATATTTCTATCAAAAAGATTTAGGGAAAAAGGTAATGTAAGTCCACTGCTGTTTATCTGAATTTGCAAGCCACAAATTGACGTTTAACTATGATTATTGCATGGCCATTTTCTTGTGAAATATTAGTGCTAGGCATTTCACACTTACCAATGACCATCCCCAAAAGTACCATCTCTGAACCATATAAGCACCTCAGAATAGCCAAAGCTTTTATGGTTTGGTAGATAGCAGTATGGCGAAAGCGTCGTTTTTGGGTGTGGTCAATTTCGGACGTTCCGTCCCGGATTGGGGTTGGGGCAGCGTTACCATGTTGACCGTCATGGTCAACTTACCCTAAAACAGTTGAGATTATCTGGCCTAAATGAAATGCATACAAACTCATATACAGATCCTCGACTACAGTCCGAAGGTCAAATCCTTAAAAACACGTGAAGTCGTGGAACAAATGCATACCATCGCTGATTGGTCGAAGCGTAAAGAACATTGCATAAAACTGATAATATATGATATAATCATGCATACATGCACGTTTCACATTTTCCTGCATTATTTTTTGTGTTGGGAGTAAAGTTTCTCTTTAAAATATAAACAACAACGTAGGCTTTAATTGTGAAAATAACTTCATGAATAATTATAGCTAAATCGTAAACTACACGTAAAGAATTCAGAATTTTGTATTCGGCTTCAGAAGGCAGACTGCATGTTTGACTTTTCTTTGTCTTTGTATTATATGTTTGATGTTTGACTAAGTAAAAATAAACTATACACGCTGACAGTGTATTTGATAAAATTTTTTTGTCGCTTAACGGCAACTCGTTTTCTATAAAGCCGCAGCTGCATGATATATGACTTCGTATAAGGATTGCTATAAAATATGCTTAGCACTAAGCACTGTATTAATCAACCTTGGGCTAAATTTTCAGCTAATATTTTTCAGCCCCTGTTTTAAAATTTTAAGGTTGACAGGGAAATTTTTATCTGGGCAAGAAGAACGAAATCCATCACCACATGTAGAAAAAGCATCCTAAAGTCGGCTCCAAAGTGGTGCAAATTTATGCACAAAAGCATACAAAATTTGCGAAATTTGCAGGGCTATATTTTCCGCATTTTACAACATTTCGCGACCAAACCGGTACTGTGCAATTTCACTAACTTTAAGATGCTCTTTCTAGCTGTAGTGATGGATTTTGTTCTTCCTGTCTGGATCAAAATTTAGTCTATAGCTGGAATCATCAATTTATCCTTAAACGATTTCGCCCCCCGGACAAAACAGATGTCATGAAATGCAACCCGGGAATAAACTAGGGATCCAAGGTATTGTGAAGTTTCAAATTGAAAAAGACACTGCAAGAACTATATAGGACATATAGGGTCGCCGACACTTACACTACGAAATAAACAGTTACCAAAGGCATTTCATCTCATTATCTATTGTTTTTAATGTGTTCGGTACATGAGTAGCGCGACGTTTGAAACAAGCCTAACACATCAGAAACCTTGTGCCTCGTGGAACTGATACAATTTATTTATTTATTGTGATGCTACACGCGAGAACTCGAAATTTAAATTGTTTCAGCAACAACCAAATTTTGCATATTCTAAAACTTCATTTGCATTTGCAAAAGCATCCCCAAGAAGCTACTGATATGCTAAACTTATTTAAAACTATGATTATTCCCATCATCCTTTTAGCGCCCATATTGCACATTTGACTATTGTCTCAGTGACAACTTTAATTGAAATAGCTGTGTAAGATATGTTATGAATAATAAGCACTACGACGTTGCATCATTAAACGGACGCATTTTATTCCCATCCGTTCCGTATTTTATCCCCATATCCGTTCCGTTGATCCGCTCCATCCGCTTCCGCATTTTAACCTAAATGTGACATGTTTCACACAACAAGTCTCATTGACCTTTGACTTTTTATTCCCAGTGTCACATTGTGTCATCTTCAGCTTTTCGCATGTATTCAATGTCACTTTAGATTTCAATAGTTTCACAGTTATAGCAGTGTTTAAAGCAGTTTTGACAAGCTTTGATACAGCTCTGCATCCTCGTACCCACATCTCTGTGTACAGATTGATTCTCGTAAGATCTGCCATCTGGTAGAGTTATCGTTGCACTGAACAAGAGTTTGCACAGACAGTAAACAAGGTCCATACGGTACGCGTTGGCAACCTCCTTGCTTTTTTCTTCTATTGCATAAAGCTTGTTGGCGAGCCAAGCGATTGGCGACACGTTGGCTATCTTCTCGTCTTTCTTGTTTAAATAAAGAGCTCTGACTCAACTGATTTCTTTAGTCTCGCAAGTTATTTTCTTCGTATTATAAAAACGCCGTACAAACACCCGCTTCTGTTTAATAGTTGTTTACGCTTTATAATTATTAATCTGATGCAATTTTTCGCTCTTTGCATTGAGTGTAGATGAACTATTTTGTAATCTGTGGTGTAGCACCTTATACAGTCAATGTATAATGAATACACACAGTCTAAATAATATTGATAGGCACTAATAATGCCGGTAATGCATAACTAGTAGAATCGGCAAAGATTTTCTCAATATTCATGTCTGAAATGTTTATATATTTGAAAACAACACTGTCTCGCTCCTTCCTACGTGCTACCTCTGTATAATGAGTATACCGTGAAAATATTATCGGCACTCAATTGAATGCCTAGAATCTCAAAGATTATTGACTCAATATTTACGAAGTGTTTTAATAATATACACTTGAAAAAAAGCACTGTTCCTAGCTCCTTCCTAGCTCTGTATAATGAATATCAGAATATACCGTCTAAATAATATCGGCACTTAATTGAATGTCCGTAATGCATAACATCAATTTATATATTGCGTAGATTCTCAAAGATTTACTCAATATTCACGTCTGAAATGTTTATACATTTGAAAACAACACTGTCGCTCCTTCCTGGCGTATCGTCACGCCATCGTCACAAAATAAATAATAAGACCAGAAGTCTCACTCGATGTCGGAATCTTTGATGTTGATGTCCCCGCGCATGTCGCCTCGCGCATCTTGGCCGTGTCTCGTTTCCAGTGCCCTAAACAAGTGTAATTTGACAAATTTACATGTATTACATTTTAAAGGAGTGAGAAAGTTAAAACGATACCAATCGAGTTTTAGAGCTTTGGTGACCATTTTAAAAGAATATATCATAAATTCAAAGGTAAGTCTATCGTACTGCATTGTCTTAAATGAATTCTCAGCTGAAATACGGCAATAAATGGATCATAAACGTAGCTAAATTTACTGTTGACAACGAGGTTGACAGATCCATTGCTTTTTTGCCTTGAATAGCTTCACCATAGTCATTTTACCTTAAAATGTAGCTACTAAGGATATCTCTAAGAGATTTACACAGATTATTTGCACAATCTCACGATTTAATCATGCTGATAACATGAAAATCCTTGTGCCATTCTATACTTGGCATAATCTCTACATCAATAGTTCACTAATATAAATTCAATATATTTTTGAACCAGTCCATATATTATTATACACAATGTAGTATAGTTAATTTGACCATATTTGAGAAGTAAGGGTGTATTTCATTACACAGACACTGCTGAATTTTAGGTTACATGCCATTGGATTGATATATAAAAAACACTTGTAAAACACACATTATCTAGTTGATAGAATAGTTATTTGCAGTATACTAACTGTTGGCATACTCTATTTCAGGACTATCAATTGTTTTTGTCACTGGCAGTCTTTGAAATACAATCTTGCTCTGTGGCCTTTACTGACAAGTTGGCTTTTACTACATATGTGGCACTGACACTTCTTTAATTAATGTACCAGTCAATGTAAACCCCACAACCAGGGAGGGGCAGGGATTTTGACTTGGAGGGGTAGTAAAAAAGCGAAATTGTCCCCGCCCCCAGGGACGTCAATGTCCCCTGCATGTCTCTTAACCCCAGGAAAATAGTTTTGTATAATCATAGATCAGCAATAGAAAATCAAATTCATTTATGTTGTTGTTGTATTTAAACTTTTCTTGTCAAGAAAACTAAAACAGCAACACAGGATATATATGTTAACCACTGTCCAAGTCTCCCATCATCGGGGACAAATTTATAATCAAAACTGACTACTTTCCCTGCTAAACCTTCCGCCCCTCCCCGGTTGGGGGCAGGGATTTACATTGACTGGTGCATAACTAGATGATTGCATAAAGCATTGCATGGAAGTTGATTTATAATTAGTTTATGAATAAACTCACACTTTCATTATAATGGTTGATCGAATATATCAAATGCATTTGATTGGTTGATTGTCCCTTAATGGTAATGGTAGTCAAATCTGAACCTATATAATGTCAATATACTGGAAAAGTATCAAATTAAATTTTAATTGTCAATGTTGTGGAAAGTAAATAAATCAAACAATTCTGTTTGTTTCAACTAACTAGTTCACTATCACTTTGGTTTTCAAATAAAAGAATCTTTAGCCTGGTTGAGCTTTTGAAA